GGTTCATTGAAAAAGCAGGTGGCTTTGGAGCTCACTTTTCTGTAGCCCCTGACTGGCTTGACGAATGGGGATTATCAGGGACTTTCCAAGCAGCAAGCATGAATTTATGAAAACAAAGCAAAACTCGTGGGTGGAATAATCTTGCCAAACTGCCAGGTATGCTATTGGGGCCTCATTTTATTTTACATTTCTTTACCGGTGAGTGGCATAGAGTTGCAGTATCCCACATGGTCCCTTTCTCTGAGGTCTGTGGTAGACATCTGCTGACCGGCACTTGGAGAAGTTGAATTCTTATCTAATGCTGTTTGCAAGGGAGTCTTGTAGTTAAAGCCTTTTAAATCAAAGGGAATCATCAGGGAAAACAAAAGATACTCTCCTGCTCTCAAGAGACAGGCCTTTGTGTTGTTCCACTAACTGTCTGCCTTAAATACGTGAATGGTTTAAGTAACAGAGTCTCCCTGACTCTGTCCTCATTATGCAGGCTGAGCATTACACACGCACACACGTGTGCACACATGTACACGTGCACACACATCCATCCTGCAGTCTGGTTCCTTTGAGGGTTCAATCCATGTCACTTTTTATCACTCATCACAATATATGAAATCTCTGTTATGAAATGTTCCGTCTCCAAAAACAGATATTGCTTCTCTTTTAGAAAAATATCCTTGGTTGGGTCCCTGAACTTTAATTAAAATCCAGGGTGCTCTTTTAAAAAAGCTTATTACATTTCAGACAGCTTGGATGTAAAACAGTGAGGCCAGGAACCAGAACGTTTTTGCCGGTGGGATGGAAGGGATGGTGAGGACAGATCAAAGGCTGCCTGGGCTAGCTATCCCCTGAGACAGCTCCTAGGGAGAAACCTGCCACTTAACGAGAGCCAACCATTAGCCCCAAGTCTCAGGTTTGAAGGTAATTATCAGAAACAGTCACAAATTTTCTTCCATTTGTGCCCTTGACATTGTCTGGGCTGTTGTAAACAAAAGACTAACAAGATTTATCATTAACTAATTAGTTAATTCATTTATATTTGTTATGGAGAGAATGTTGATGTCCCTCCAAAATTCATATTATTGAAATCCTAATCCTCAATATGATGCTATTTGGAGGTGAGACTTTTGGGAGATGAGGTCATGGGGATGGAGCCCCATTGGGATTAGTATCCTAGTAAGAAGAGGAAGAGCTTCCTCTGTCTGCCATGTGAACAATGAGTGAGAAGGTGGCTGTAGACAAGCCAGGAAGAGGGCCCTCACCAGGAACCAAATCTGCCAGCACCTTGATCTCAGGCTTCTCAGCCTCCAGAACTGTGAGTAATAAGTGTCTGTTGTTTTAGCCACCCAGGCTGTGGTATTTTGCTATGGCAACCTAAGATAACTAAGACATCTATTTTAGTTATTCATGGAACTTACTTAACTTTTTTGTCCCTCACTGGGCTGTGAGCCACATGAGGGCTGGAGCCACCTGTCTTGTCCTCTGCTATGTCCCTGGGTTAGGTAGGAATGTGGGAGTGGTAGGTGCTCAATAAAATCTTGTGGAATGGATGCAGAGGCACATGGCATAGTGGGTATGAGGGATATGAGAATGATTAAGACATAGTTTCTGTCCTCACAGGCTAATGGGGGTATTGAAGGCATTTGGACACTTAAAAAAATGTTTTAATTGATCTTTAGAGAGAGAGAAATGAGAGGAATAGAGAGTTAGAGACATTGATGAGAGAGAATCATTGATTAGCTACCTCCCACATGCCCCCTACCGGGGATCATACCTGCAACCCAAGCATGTTCCATGATTGGGAATCGAACCAGTGACCTCCTGGTTCATGGTTCAATGCTCAACCACTGCGCAACACCAGCTGGGCATTTGGGAACTTTTGATTATTATAATTTGAATTCCTATTTCTTGAGTAACTAATTTTGTGCCAGCCTGTGCTGACAGTCAAGAAGGGGTGGAGTGGTATGGCCATAGTCTTAAGTTTTTTTTTAAAGGGCACCCTGGATTTTAATTAAAGTTCAGGGATCCAATCAAGAATATTTTTCTAAAAGAGAAGCAATATCTGTTTTTGGAGACAGAACATTTCACAACAGATTTTAACTCCCCAAATAACTTGATAAGGTAGATATTTTTTCTTTTACAGAGGAGGGAGTAGTATGAGGGAATTTAAATGGCTTATTCAAAGACATGTGGCCACTAAGTAGAGAATCCTGTCTACGTACTCAGGTCTGTCTGTCTTCATTCTCTCTGCAGTGCTATCGCTTTTGAACAGTTGTGCTTCAAGGTTGAGCTTCCCCGATTTTCTTAACTGAGAACTAGAGGAGATAGAAAACATTTGTTATTTAGTAGAGTTATTACATGAAGAAGTTTATCTTTTAGTTGGTTGCATGAACTTTGTCTTTAAAATATCTGTGAAGGTTGGCTTCTTCTGGAGTGAGTGACAGTGGAGCTGAGCTCAGAGCAGTCAGTGGGGGAGGCTGGGTGAGCGTCTCCTCTGAACTTCTTTTATTGTCACCTTGGGTGGGCTTGCAGGACACAGAGTGAGCCTGTGCTGACAGACAAGGAGGGGTGGAGTGGTATGGCCATAGTCTCCTCTATACCTCTGAGGAGTGGCATGGGACACCATGAAAGATTAGAACTAGAGCCTAGAGGAGCTGTTCTTCTAAGCCCTAAACCTTCCTCCTCAGGCTCTCATACTTATTTGAAGGGGATCGGCCATGGAGGCTGTGGGCTGGGTGGCAGCCTGGCCTCTGGCTAGGTGACCACTCTGCTTGAAGTTTCCAGAATCTGTCACTCACTAGGGTTCCTTTGGGACTGGAGCTGAGGCCATTGCTGAAGCAAAGGATGGAGGGAGTTGACAGATAACAGGCTTGTTCTCATGCCCTGAATTCTTCAGTGGCCCTCCATGTGGAAAAGTGGAGAAGGATAAGCCTATGATGCTCGGTCCCTCGTTCTCTGGCTGAAGCTTCACCCTCATGAGATTCTTTTTTGCTGAGCAGGTACCATGAAGCAGTAAGTTAGTAGAAGTCAGGACTTTTTAGCTCTGACCTTGGGATTGTACTTGTGTAGGTGCCGACATAGCATAGAACTGGCTTCCTCAGAGAGTGCACTGCCTGCCCTATCCTGTCATTGTATAGATAAGGAAACAGCCCAGAGAAGTTATATGAATAAACCAAAAGGCTACCTTTTCTCTTCAGAATCTTGCAGACCCAGCCTGTGGGTCACACTGAGTAGGTATGGGCCTCTGCCATGGTCCCATGATCAGCAGAGACACAGACGTGCAGGTCAGCTTGAGTAGCTGTGTAGCTTGAGTCTACCTGCAGCAGTGGGTGGCACACCCTCCTCTCCATGGTTAGAGGGCTTCTAACATTTCCCTTGAATTGTAGTTCCTCCTATGGAGTGAAGAAAGAGACCAAGGCTCACCTGGGGAGATTTTTTCAAAACAGGTGCAAATTCTGCTTGCCTCACCTCCCCAAAAGTGAATCCAAAGTGGAACAAGAGATGGCAGTGGGTGTGGGTATTTGTAAGTAATTATGATATGCCCACCCCTTCCTGAGACCCGTTGTGGTACTCTAACAATGGGAAGCTTCTTGAGGGAGGTTCTCATCTTAAGTGTTCTTGTGTTCTTCATAACATTAGGTGGAGTATCTACTTCACTGAATATTTGTTGAATGAATAGATGAAGAAGATGGCAGTGGAGAGATAAGGAAAAAATCTCCCAGACAAAAAGGACTGGGTACTGGAACGTGAGGAGGCCTGGAGGCTGCTCAGTCAATACGAGTTCATTGAACATGCTTAAAGGGGAGCCTGGCCATCTTTAGCGGGCTTGCCATCGACCCTTCATCAATAAACATAAACATTGTTCTGCCCTTGACTTCAAGAGTTAAAATAATAAATAGCTTAATTGGTCATTATTAATTCCACTTTGAATTTATTATAGATAAATGTGGCCTTGAAAATAATCACTCCCACACTCAACCCAGACATTTTATCCTGAATTCTGAGCCTCCCAAAGGTGTGTGTGTGTGTAGTAAAACAAATAAAATCCGCCTCCCACCTCCACTCTCCCATCAATAGCAGGTTTGCTATTGAATTCAGGCAAATGGCCATCTGCAAGGTTGGATGAGTAGTTAAGCCACACAGGCACAATGCAACATGACAACATTTTTCATGGTTATATTGTCCTTTCCCTCATTACATTTGAATATATATTGCCAGTGTGCGATGCTTCCAAGCTCGCTCTGTTAGTCAGCTGAGGAATTCTTCAGGCAAGGTGAGGTCCACATGTGCTCCCCAGAAATTGCTAGCCTGTTTGTAAGCCCAGACAGAATCATAGCTATTGTCTGTGAGAACTTAATTTGCCAAAGCTCTTTTCTCCCTTCCCTTAATTATGTATATATTTATAGACTTGAGCCACCTGCCTGCTCAATGCTCGTGTGTAACCATTTCTCTTATGTGCCACTGAATGGCTCAGGGCTCTTCCTTTATACTCGCTTTGCTTCATACCCCACATTTAAATATATACGTACTCAGCTCAGCTTCTGAGTATTAAAACATTTTTTCCCCACTTCCTTGAAAAGCTGTGAACAAGCCTTTTAGCATTATTTTTTTTTTCTGGACAAAACAGTACTGGTTTTACACAAGAAATGAGAACTCTGTAAGTAAATCTACGTTTTTATATGACTAAAGTGCATTATAAAGACAAGCAATAAATCCAGTTTTCTACATAAAAGGAATTAGATTTTCTAGCTTACCTCTGCACTGGGATTAATAAAATGTGCAACAAATAGCTAATGGAATGATCCATTTGAAGTTTGTAAAGGCATCTTGGGAAGCTGGCTGGAGTAGCCTTTTGATTTTTTCAAAAGAGGATGCCTGTTAATTTTTTGATCCAGTCTTTCCCTGAGTGACTGCTTCAAAATGAGCTGAGAGACTGTTACCTGCCCATTTCTGCATGGCTGAGCAAATCCACACGTAAATCCAAGTTTCTCTTCATTTCCATCACTATGCGTCTCCAAATTACAGAGAATTCATTCCTGAGCTGGAGAGGTGCCAGAAGTTTCTCATCTAGCTGTCTGTGGGCTGCCTTTTTCTTTCCCCTCTTTGAGGCTTTCTGATGCCTAGAGTGAGCTCAACTCAAAGGTTTCCAGCCTCACACTCGCCTCATATTCCCCCACAGACTCAGCGAGCTCTGTGATTCTGAGGAATACCGTGTGCCAGCATCTGACTCACAGTCTGCTTTTACCTGCAGGTGTTCCAGAAACTTCAAAATGCGTCTGGTAATGTATTTGCTCCTCTAAACATGTCACTTTGGCATGCATTATATGCAGCTGCTTATTAATTTTTTAAAAATCTGTCTTCTGAATAATCTGCATGCTAAAAAAATGTCAAAGGGGGCTTATAGAACAGTGTAAGCTTAATGACTGGTCTATGTGTGCGTGCGTGTGTGTCCTTGTTAATGTAGGCATGTTTGCATAAGTATGTATTATTTATGTACACATGTGTCTGTGCAGGCAGATATCACTGAAGGAATCTCATTGAAAGCACTACTTTTTATGTACATCCAGGTTTTCTAATCAGATCTGTAAGCATCTTACACGGCAGCAAGTAGAGGAAAAATATATTTTTCATCCCCATGCAAGCGGCATGTTTTAGGCATCTATTTGAAAAACCCTCCTTTCTTTCTTAAAAAAAAAAAAAGGTGAGTGTGTCTGTGTCTATAGGGAGGGAGTGTTGTTTTTGAAAATTTGGAGAGAAGAGTTATCTTGCTGCTGCACGAGAGAATTTCTACCCCGTGTTGCCTGCCTTCTTAAAACTCAGTAATCACTGAGGGGAAAGATGTGGTTCTGCTTCGGAGTCACCTCAGGGGATGTTGAGCTGCAGTGTTCAGCAGGCACTTTAGGTATTCTAAATACTAGTGCTTGAATAATAAGTAGATGGGCTAGACTTGCTATCGCCGGGTCCTGCTCTGTTTCTTGGCTTGCAGAAATCACATCCACAGGGCGCATTTAGGATATCCGTGTTTCTTAACTCTAGTGAAGCAGTGTGAGAGTGTGGGCTCATAAATCACATTGTTTATTTGCCAATGTTGGGTGCTACAACCTAAAATTAAGAAATTTAGCAATTAGTTATACATTCAGCATCTCTTGTCTCATTCAGTGAGATTTATATCCTTGGAACTTGCTTTTCTAGTTATAGAGATGAATGATTTAAGGTTCTGATTTAATTGCTATTTCAAATCCTTAAGCTACAAAGATGCTTACGTTACTTGACTTTATCTAAAGGACTTATTTTGAAAAAATGTGTATGTATATTTCTAACTGTGGTGAGGAGCTAATTATGACTGTCCTGTGCTATATGTTTAGAATAAACATCTTGTCTTGAGTATTGTTCACTTGTAGAGTAGAAATTAGTTCTCTTGTCTTCATATTATAATAATTCTTTCACTTTGCATTATGTTTTTGCTTTACTAATTGTTGTGAATATGAGAAAAAAAGTAGGAACTCAGAATTCATAAGGTAAAGTAGGTTAAACTAGGAGTTTTCTAAGAAACTAAATAAAATAGGTTTTCACAACTGGGTTTTCTAAATGCACAGTGGGTATTGATATTGGAAATGGAAGAAGCTTAAATGTAAATTTGTTAAGTGGAATATATTAGGACATTTTATAGTTTTTCACTATATTTAAAATGAGGTAGTATATAGGTTAATTATTTTACATTTGCTATTAATTATTTTTGCATAATGATGTTGATTAAAGAACAAACAATTGCTTTTGATTTGCTTTGAATTGGAAATGATTGTCAACTTTGGTAAAAGAGTTTACCAAAGTGTAACAATAAAAATGTATATTCTTGAAAATCAGTGTGGAAACCACTTTTACTTTTTAGTGTTCGAGATCTAGTAGTTTATCATTTATAGAGCTCTATGCTTATAGAGGATTATGTGTATTTCAAACAATTACATATTTCTAAAGCTTATTTTATCAGCCATGTTCCATTCATAATTACTCAAAGTAATATAGTAAAAATGAACCTCAGTATGTACTAAGGGTTCCTTGAAAGGGCATATTATATTAGGAGCCATTAAAAATCTGTGTAGGCTATTAATGTTATACTCATGTATTGCTCTATGTGTAATGGATTTTTTTAGGTACTATTCATTTACAATATTTAAGTACATACACCTAAGATTGTAACCTATTTGATGTAGGAATCTTGGCTTTGGATGTAAACAGCTTGATGAGAATTTCAAATTGAATGTACAGGAAGGCTGAAGCTTTAGTAGTACTTTTTTGGTATGTATTGCAATATGCATTAATGCATATATGCAAATATTAAGCTATATATAAATATTTATTACATTCAACTCCATACAAATCATGTTCATCTTACTTTTGAAGTTGGTTATTTTGTTGGAAATCAGTTTTATAGGCATAAAAAGAGCTTTATTCTTTTGAGCTTATATGGCACTGGGTGGTCACATTCAGTGCCATTTTATAGGGAACATCATATGTCCAAAATAGTGAGAGGAAAGAATACCATGTTTGCCATCTGTCTCTAATTATGATTTTCTACTGGCTTTTAGATGTATTATAGACCCGGCTTTTATTTTATAGAACAGCTTTATGTTAACTACAATATCTAAAATGATTGTAAAACACTTCCCCCATATAATTGTTTCCCCTTTATATGACCAAGATTGTCTTATAAAACATTTATTTTTTAAGGCTCACATAATAGAAAGAGGATGTAAAAAATATAGTTGCAGACTGACCATGCATCCATAGCTGAAAACATTCATCCTTAAGTAAGCTTTTATGAGCATTGCTTTGCCAACCATCTCTTAGCCTTGGGCAAAAGGTTAGGTGGGAGAGGAGAGGTCTTGCCTGTTTCATTACTAACAGTTGCTTATGGAGGCACAGAGATCTTCAATATGGTTTGAGAATTATTTTTTGTTCTAGTTTCAAAATGATACCATTCTTAGGCTTTGCCAGTAGAGAGGAATGATCATAGTTGGGGAGGGGAGGGAAGGCTGGTCAAGGAAACTCTGGAGAAGGTGGGTTCTCAACCAACTGGAGAAGGAGATTATTAGCAGAAACGGATGGAGAGATGAGGAATAGGCACTGTGAGGGGATAGAAAGGAATATGGGAAGAAACAAATCTGGGCAGGAGACAGCAAGGTGATGACATAGGGTAGAGAAGAGGACCTACATTTGTAATAAAAGGAAGTGTAACTGAAAAAAAAAAATTACAGGGTTGGGTTTGAAATGTTTTTAATTAATTCTTATTAGCCTTATTATATCCTTTGGAAAATTCTTTGAGAAAGTGAAAATTTCTTCTATTTTATTATATCCAACAAGCTCTGTAAATGGCATTTCTAAGTCTATAAAATAATAATGAATATTTCTTGAACATTTATTATGGGCCAGGTACTGTGCTAAATACTTGAAAATGCATTATCTCACCTAGACCTCTCTTGCTACTGAAACCCTCATTTTACAGATGAAGAAACTGAAGTACTGAAAAGTTACATAATCTGTAAAAGGTTATACAGGTCAGAAGTGGTAGAGCTGGGATTTGACTACAAATTCAGGAGCCCAGCCTCCTAAACACTATGGCAAGGCCATTTCAGCATATCACTCCATCTCTAGCTCCAGGTCCAGGCTGGTAGGACCAGTTGCTGACTGGTTATGTCATTTATGTTTTCTGGAAACAGATACTGAAGCAGAGTTACCAAATAAGTAGTGTATTGGAGGGTAAAAATAAAAGGAGATAAAAGGAGGAGGAAGCCAATTCTGCTTCACACCACAATGCAGTCGCCTCCAGAGGAGATTGCCTTATTTTATATTAATGGAGCCCCATGTTGTACAGAAATGGCCAGGCCTAGTACCCCTAACATGCTTAGTCACTGACTGGTGGTTCCTAGGAAGAACATGGCTATGACTCAAAACTTGAGACAGATCCTGAATGTCCTGTAGCTGGAGACTGGCAGCTGATTGTACTTTTTGCAGCTGAATAGCAAGTTCTTTCTTGAAGGGAGATCCGAGTGGTGGACCTCCTTGGCCAAGGGAATATCTCTACACAATGTACCATAGAAGCTCAGGGTGGAGCCAGCTAGCCACTTAGGGTGAAGAATTTATAGAAGCCCTTACTCTTAAGAGCATTTAAGTGCAGGGTGGGCACCTGAGAGTGAATGCCTCCTTAGTTTTGCAATTCAGGAAATATTCCTGGAAAAGCAAATCAGAATCGATCAAATAACTAGCCATGGAGTTTAAGTCTTCCCTGGAAAGTGTTGGAGCAGTGAAGTGATATGACCAAATGGTCTTGTGGGAAGGTGAATGTGGTCATGATGTAGAGGCTACACTGAATGGAGAGCCATTAGGAACCAGGGAGATTAGTTAGAAGGCTGTTTTGCTATGATAGAGAAGGGGAAAAGAAATCTTGAACTAGGTGTGTAACAAATGAAAAAATATGAAGTAAGGTTGAATAGGATTTCAAGATTGATGAAAGGAAGGGAGTAAGGGGAAGAGAGAACTCAAAGAGTACTTAAAAGTTTGAATTGGGTGGCAGGAGGCAGGTGTATAGGAACCAGAAATGGACAGGAAGGGGGTCTTGTTAAGGGAAGCTAACAAGAGTCCAAAAACTGTCTCCTTTATTGCCCCAAATGAATGACATACAAATCTTTATTTTTTTTTCTTATCTTAGACACTGCTTATTCAACCCTCAAGTTTTGCCTGATTTTTAGTTCACTGTCTTAATCCCTAGAACAAAAGATTAGGGCATGGAAGACAAAAGTTATCTTTATAGACAGCAACCATTCTGACAAAATGTAGCTTTCTTTTTCAAATGCAACTGTGAAAATACCATTTTTGGATCTACACAATTTCTAACAGCCAGTTTGAGAAATTATTATTATTATTTTTATACTTTATTTTTCAAAATGATGTCTTGACTTCATATAGGTCTGATTCTGGCCATCAGAGCCTAGCAAGACTGGCCTTGCTCATTGGAAGTCTTTGTTCACAGGGTGATAGAAGAGCAGACACTGATCTCATGAGATGCAGATATCTTCTCATAGAGAAAACCTTAAACAGCTGCTGCTCTCTGCCCAGCTCATATACCTCCCTACAGAGGTAATCAATCTCACATAAACAGAAAAAAGACTAAATTTATTTGCAAACAGAGATTCACATAATATAAGTCATGATGTATAACTGAAAGCCCAATTTTCAGTGAAAGAGAAATAATGGCAATAACTTAATGCTAAATAAGCTTTAG